GCAGGTGATTGAAAAGAAGTGCATTCAAAAGCCGACATTCTGGTGAGTCCGAAATATTACTGGATTACGCCGCGTAATAATCAGTACTACAACCCCAACTAAGTAATACTTCCAAATCGAAAACGCATTTCAGAATTTCGGCCAACATTCCATGAGATCGGTCACTCACGGTAGGTGCGGGGCCGGGCGTATCAGCCACCTGCGGCCTCTCCCACCTCTGATCTTCTTGACTTGGTCGTGACACCTAGTCCAGGTGGGGGAGGAGAGGGTGCGATAGACGCTGAGCAAGTCTTCTATCACTACAAACTAATCCACGAGCAAGTCGCCGTCTCCCCTCTCACCCTGCTATGGAGTGCATGGTGAACTTCGTCGAAATCGACGATTAAACTGTCGCGTCGCCCTTAAATGTAATTTTTCGGTGCAGACAGTCATATGAACGGACAACAAGGTGACATCTGACTGTACGGTGTAACTGGACTTTATTTTAAGCGAGGGGTATGAGGACGAAGGATTTAGATTCCTCTGAAATTGTGCGTGAGAGTAGCTGCATATTTCAGCTACGAATCCTGAACTAATTGGACGATATTTGGTCGGGGAAAGGATTAAAAGGGGAATTCAGTCACTTAAATTCAGGCAGTGGCCACCGACATACAGTAAAATATTGCAGCAGAGCACCAAAATGGCTCATTGAAAAGGTGCGGGAACCCTCCAAAAAATACATAATCGAAGTAGACAAAATCTCGACGACCTGAGCTCGAGGGACAAAAGCAAAGACCGTGATAAGGCTGGTCAGCCTCCGTTTTAAATCAACGTTTTTCGGACTGCCATTTTATCAATCAAATTAAACAACTAGAAAACTTCCCTCTTCAAAAAGTATGCGGGCTTAATAACTATCTAGCTCCTTGATGCATCCAGAGGGTGTGTATGAAGTAAAACCCCCTTTGAATGCAGAACAAGACTCAATAATCGACAGCGTGGCGCATTGGTCTGTGTGACTGAACGAGAGTCCTATACAGTGGACGGATCGTGATGCTGAGGGTGGTATTCATAAAGGGGAAACCAGAACAAAAGTCGGAGGTCTTCTGAAATTGAAGCAGGGAAACGCAAACTTAGCTTTTCGCGTTTTTTGAAGTCTGACAGTTCGACCATCGGCTTCGATGATGTCCACCGTGTGCCCCACAGTTGCAGCAGCAATGGGAGCAGGGACGGTGACCTTCGCAGGGGTTTATAGTGCCGGTAGACTTGCGTAGCATCTACCTACACTCTCTCCTCCTCCCCCACCCGAGCCCGGTGTCAAGACAGAGTCAAGAAGACCAGAGACGAGAGAGGCCGCAGGTGGATGGCTCGGACGGATCCTCACCTTGGCGTTCCACCACACCCCCTGGTCCACACAACAAATGACCAGGATTTCAACCAACACAACAGAGATTTGGAGGCTGGCACGGCCAAAGCCGCACCTGGGCGTGCCGCCAACGCCTGGCCCGGATCCCACACTGTGATGGGAGTGCCATAAAGGCCACATTAAAAAGAAGCCATTGCAGCCTGACTCTCAGACCGCCTCCGGTCAAGGAGGAGGTCCAAGGTACCCCGTCAGTTGGCAACCTTCCAAGCCACGGCTTTTAGCGCACCGTGATAGCTTCAAGCGCGTCAGATTGTTTATAGTGAGGAGAAAGTGCGCTGAGTCGTCGGCCTCACTCTCCTTCCCACTCCCACACTCCAGCCGCTGTCCGAGCCGGTCAGCAGACTGGAGTGGGGAATGGGCGCGGTGGCTGTCGTGGTCGACTGACCATGACTGCGCGCGCCACGTCACGACCTGGCCCCCCATACACACAACACCAGGATTTCACACAACGGGGATTGAACGGCGTGTCTCTCACTTGCGTGAGAGGGCCGTGGAAGGTGCTACTTCAGCCCGTCCCCAGCCAACCAGTCCGCCACTACACACAACACACACACACAACGCGACGAACTGCGTGAACCGAGAGCGGGCCTCAATCAGCAACCTTTCTATCCACGACGCTTGACGTGTCGGGATAGTCTCGGACACAAGTCACCCGTGCAGCCGAAGCCGCATGGGGACCGAGTCGAGATGCACAATTCCCACTTGCGTGGGAGGCGGCAGTTGAGTGCATGAGGTGTGTGGGGGTTGATGTCTGGTGGGGTGATGGTGGTGGTGGAGGAGGTAGGGAGTGAGTGAATGTGTGGTGTGGTCGGCGGTTGTCTACCGCAGGTCGTCGTGGATGCGCATGTGGTCGAATAGGCCCATGCGATGCCTGAAAGTGCGAGGGCAGTGTGGGCAGTTGAGACGAGCTTGGTGGGTATAGGTGGGTGCTCCAGGCACTGGTTCGCCAGTCTCTGTGCGATGGATTCGCAAGTGACCGACAAGGCCGATGCGTGAGGTGAATGTGCGTGGACAGTGTGGGCATGAGAAGTCGGCGGTGTCAGTGCCAGCTACAGAGGAGGCGGTGGTGGTGGTGGCGCGGACGGATGGAGCGAGGGTGGATGTGTGCACGGTTGATGTGTGGGATGTGGTGGGTGTGTAGGGAGTGCGGTCAAAGCCGATCTCGCGGATGTGCCTGTGGCCGAAATGGCCCATGCGATGCCTGAAGGTGCGAGGGCAGTGTGGGCAGTGGAGGCGAGTGCGGTGGGTGTAGGTTTGTGCTTCACGCATTGGTTCGCCAGTCTCTGTGCGATGGATTCTCAAGTGACCGACCAGGCCGATGTGTGAGGTGAAGGTGCGGTCGCAGTGAGGGCAGATGTAGTCCTGATCCTCATCGCTGGAGTCGGGGGAGGTGGTGGCAGTGTCGGTTGCTGTGTGCGGGACAGTCGCCTGAGCGGTCGCCGTTGGAGCAGTGAGCGAGGAGGAGGAGAAGAAGAAGAAGAAGAATAAGAAGGAGGAGGAGGATGGAAGTGCTGGGTCAGAAGAATTGTCAGGGTTAGTTGGCGGCAGAGAGGAGGAGGAAGGGGCAGGTGGGGGGACGATGGTTGGTGCAGTTCGAGAGGTGCAGTTAATCCGAAGATGTCCAACAAGTCCAATTCGAGCCCGGAATGTCCGTTGACATCGAGGACACGTTGGAAGCGGTTGTGCGGCGGCGCTGCTTACTGGAGGGAGTTGTGATTTGCGGGCTTCACGTTTCACCTTGGCAGCAGCGATGCGGTTGGCTTCGTAGATCGCAGCGCCTGTCTTCACTGTCCTCCTCCAGGTCGGTCGATCGAGTGCGAACTCCTCCTAGTTGGTGGGGTTGATTTGCAGGCATTTCAGGGAGGACTTCGGGGTATCCTTGTAACGGCGAATCTGGCCTCCTTGGCGGCAAGAACCCGTCGCGACGTCTCCGTAGAAGAGTCGTTTGGGTAGTCGCTCGTCGTCCATGCGAACCAGGTGGCCACTCCAGCGCAGCTGCATTTGCCTCAATATGGCGCAGATGCTGAGGATTCCCGTTTGTTCCAGCACATCAGTGTCGGGGATTTGATCCTGCCACTTTAGCCTCAGGATGCGACGAAGACAACGGAGGTGGAAGTGGTTCAGTCGACGTGCCTGCTTTCCGTACACCGTCCAAGTCTCCGCTCCATACAGTAGTGTCGGCAGGATGACGGCCTTGTACATCTACAGCTTCGTGCTCAGCTGAAGACCGTGGCCATTCAAAACTGTGCTTTCGAGGCGACCGAAGGCTTGACTGGCTTTCGAGATCCTGTTGGCGACTTCGTCGTCGATATTGGTGTTGCGGGAGAGAGTACTGCCCAAGTACGGGAAGTTTTCCACCACCTGCAGTTGGGTCCCATTTACGCTGATTTGCGGCGGCGCGTTGGGAGCTGTGGCAGAGTTGGGTGGCGGTTGGTGCATCACCACCGTCTTCTGCGTGTTAATGACTAGACCGCAGTTCTCGCAGGCGGCGGAGAACAGGTCCATGCTCCGTTGCATCTCCTCTTCCGAGGGGGGTGTTTAGGGCGCAGTCGTCGGCCAAGAGGAGTTCGTGCACGGTGGTTGTGGATACGCGCGATTTGAAGTGCATCCGCCGTTGATTCAGGAGGTGACCGTCCGTCCTGTAGGCGATGCGGATCCCGGGGCGTTCGTCACGGTAGGCGTCCATCAGCATGACAGAGAACATAAGACTGAAGAGGGTAGGCGCCTGTACGCATCCCTGCTTCACTCCATTGGTCACTGCGAATGCCTCTGAGACAGCTCCGTTGTCCGTGACTCGCGCCATCATACCGTCGTGCATCTGACGCACCATCTGAGTGAATCGCTCCGGACAGCCGAATTTCTGCATGATCTTCTACAGTCCTTTACGATTCACCGCGTCGAAGGCTTTGGTCAGGTCCACGAAGGTAGAGTACAGGTGGGTCCGCATCTCCTGACACTTCTCCTAAAGTTGACGGGCGGCGAAGATCATATCCATGGTCCCACGATGACGACGGAAGCCGCATTGGCTTTTCGGCAGAAGGCCCTGTTCCAGCTGGTTATTGAGGCGGTTGAGAAGGATGCGGACGAAGATCTTCGGGGCGATGTTCAGCAGGGAGATGCCGCGGTGATTGTCGCAGACTTGGCGATTCCCTTTGCGCTTGTATAAATGCACGATGGTTGCGTCTTTGAAATCTTGCGGGACTTCACCTTGACGCCACATCTCTTGGAAGGGCGCAGTCAGGTGATCCATCAGTTGAGGACCTCCGTGCTTGTAGACCTCAGCAGGAATTGCGTCCGATCCGGGTGCCTTCCCGCTGGAGAGCTGCTGCACGGCCCTGATAGTCTCGTGGAGAGATGGTGGGAGGTCGAGGTCTACGTTGGTCTCCACTTGCGGCAAACGCTCGATGGCGGCGTCGGAGATGACGGAGGGGCGGTTGAGGACGCCTCGGAAATGCTCGGTCCATCGCTGTAGGATTTGCGTCTTCTCAGTCAGGAGTGTTGCCGTCGGCGCTTTGAAGTCTACTGCTGCGGAAATGTGCATAAAGCTTTAAGATGTCTGACACATTTCGTGCCTGACTCGGCCGTCTCAGGGGAATTACTGAATTTGCTGTCCTCACCTGTACAGGTTATCGAAAGATAATCGAAAAAATTGAAATTTGCAAATCTTTAACAAAAAAGCCGCGTAAACAGGACTTACTGTCTTAATCACTTTAAAACACGCCGCAGGTATAAGCGTGCTATAATCGTGAACATTCGTTTCAAATTGGAAACCTATTTTGTTACAAAATCATGTATACTATACCGAAGGCGACGATTCCTCCAAGTGTCTTCATCGCGCATTGTTTCACCGCGATTTGTCTGAAGTCTTGAAAACCCTCAACCGCAGAATGTAGTAAAGAAAGCCTTTAAAAAACAGAATTGAATGACACTAAGAGTTCAAGGAAATTAATGAAGCTGGGCTGCCGAAAATTCATTCCGTGAGATCAATCTGGAGCAGATACTAGAAAACGCGAACTTTCCAATATAGGGGGATGAGCAAATTTATGATGTTATGATGTCGACAGGAGGTGCTAAAATAAAAACCAGCAAGGTCGATGCTATAAGGCGACAACGAATGAGATTACATAGATTAAACGGCGAAGGAAGTAAACGTCAGAACCGTTCATACATGCACCTTAGAGGAATTTAAATTTCTAGCAGAAGATCTGGGCGGAATTTTTCGGGGTCTAAAAATAGAAAAGGTGTTACTAACGGGTCTGATTACTTGGTATTTATCTACTCAAAACCATGTTAAACTAGGGAAAGGGTGAACATAAGAAAAGTGTGGATTGGAACGTTATGCTGGCGACCTTATTAAGTAGTGTAAAGCAGATTTGCATGAGTATCAGGAATTTTGTCAGGTTCAAATATGCCAGAGTCTATATCAAATACCTGATTAAGGAGAAATTTAAAAAA